GAAACCAACATCCAACTGTACCCAATAATATAACAGCAGCCTGGATTAAGGTTTAATTAAGCATCCCTAATCCAAAAATTCAAAATCCAGGGCATGGTGGTTAAGGGCACTGGACTCCACGTGGCCAACTGTGGTTCAAGGCCTGGACCTGGTGGCTTGCTTTCTCTTTCTCTCTCTCTCTTTCCTTCTCTAGTCCTCTAGTCAAATTAAAATAAGGTTAAATGAAATAATTCCTTAAAAAAAAATTCAGGGCCTGCAGGTGGCATGGTGATTAAGGGCACTGGACTCCCACATGGTGACCACAGTTTGAGTCCTAGACCTGATGGCTTGCTTTCTCACTTTCTCTCTCTCCCTCTTTCTCTCTCTCTCTCTTTCTCTGGTAAAACTAAAATAACTAACAAGCTAACTAACTAACTAAAGTTAAATAAAAAGTAATTCTTTAAAAAAAAAAAAAATCCAAAACTTTGATTGCCAACATAACACCTGAAGTGCAATATTCTACCCTTGACCTCATGTGATCCAGTAAAAAATGCTGCAACACAAAAATACTGTATTACACTACTCTCCAGCCATGAGTACAGGGGTCTTCAAAAAGTTCATAGAAAATGTGTGCTATGGAAAAACTGTGAGGCCAGTCCTATAGCACAATGTTTAAGCACTGCACATGAATCCCACACAGCTGACAAGGATTCAAGTCCCAGCCCCCAAGGCTGGAAAACACACCAGGAACATACGCATGCTCAGGATACTGACTGGATGGAGGAATGGAAGAGAAAGGATTGCACCATTATCAGGTACCAGTCGCGGGTTCTTTTCCCCTCTTCCTTCCATCTCTCTTTCTGCCTCTTGTCTCTTTTCCTCTCTGTGTCCACCACATGTGCCTGAACACACCTTCTGACATTAAGAAAAAAAAAAGAGCAATGCACAGACTTCAAAAAAATTTTTCCACCAAAATATAAAGGGGTCTTCAGAAAGTTCATTGAAAATGTGTATTACTTAATAATTATGAGTAGAGGGTAAGCAGATGACAAAATGTTTATATCACTGTGAACTCCCATGTAGTCAACCACAGTTCAAGTCCCAGACCCAGTGGCTTAAAACTCACGCCGGGCACATGTGCATGCATGCCCAAAATCCAAAGAGGAGAATGGAGAACAGATTGTGACATGGCCATTCCCCTCTAGGGTGATTTCTTATTTTTTATCTCTCTGTCTCTATTTCTCCCACAAACACCCATGCCCTATAGCAAAAATCTCTCTCTAAAATTTAAAAAAAAAAAAAATTATGTGGGGCCAGCAAGTGGTATGGTAGTTAAGGTGCTGTACACTCCCACGTGGCTGACCATGGTTCAAGTCCCAGACCTGGTGGCTGGCTTCTTCACTTCCCTTCTCTCTGTGTGTGTCTCTCTCTGGTCAAATTAAAATAAATGAATAAATTAAAATAAATAATTCTTTTTTAAAATATGCATAGATTTCAGAAAATTTTGCACCAAATTCAAGCTTTAATTCCATTTTCCACAAACTTTTTGAAGTCCCCTCATATAAAGTATATATAAAACATAGATGAGGGGCCAGTAGGTCCCTGCCACCTCTCCTAACTCATCTCAGACACTCTGGACCCCCTTCTGTTCCCAGAGCACCCTAGAAGGCTCCTTACCCAGATGTAGTCCTGGGTCTCTCCCCTGGTTAATCAGTTCCGACTCCCTGGCATCTACCCAGACTCCCCCAACAATCCACCTACACAAGGCTGCTCTACTGCACAGTGCCGGGGCTTGCTGTCGTACTGTTTACGCTTACAGAATGCACACACACACCTTCCCACTGCCACCAGACCAGGGGAAAGAGGCGTCTTAGGCATCTTTGTGGCTACTACATATCCAGCTACTGGCACATAGGAGAAACTCAAATGAACAAGAAAATGTTAGATTTTGTTTTGATGATGTAGTGAGTTTTGGGGATTTGTGTAAACTTTTTTCTTTTTAAAGAATTATTTATGGGAACCAGTAGTTAGCATAATGGCTATGTCGCTGGACTCCCACGTAGTCAACCGCGGTTCGTGTCCCGGACCCAGTGGCTTAAAACTCACACCTGGCACGTGTGCGTGCGTGCCCAAGATCCCGAGAGGAGAATGGAAGAGAAGGGATTGCAGCGTGACCATCCCCCCTGGGGGGTGATTTCTCGTTTTCTGTCTCTTTGTCTCTCTCTGTCTGGCGAGCGCACGCGCCCTATAGTGAAAATCTCTCCAAAAAAAAAAAAAAAGAATTTTTTTTTTAGTGGGGCCAGCAGGTGTTGTGGTGGTTAAGGTGCTAGACTCTCACATGGCTGACCACGGTTTGAGTACTGGATCTTGTGGCTTGTCTCTGTCTCTCTCTGGTCAATTTTTTTTTAATTATTTATTTAATTATTATTATTTTTAAGTTGACCAGAGGAAGAGAGAAATAGAAAGTGAGAAAGCAAGCTGCCAAGCCTGAGATTCAAACCTCAGTCAGCCATGTAGGAGTTCAGAGCCTCAACCACTATGCCACCTACCCACTCATGTATAAACTTTTTTTTAAAAGAATTATTTGTATTTAACTTCATTTATTTTATTTATTTTAATTTGGCCAGAGAGGGACAGAATGTGAGAGAGAAAGAGAGATGGAAAGCAAGCTGCCAGTTCTGGGACTTGAACCACGATCAGCCATGTGGGACTCCAGCACCATTAGCCACCAAGTCACCTGCTGGCCTCCCATGTGTAAGCTTAACAGCACCATACACAGGAAGTCACAGTGTGGGTGGGACAGCTTGTGGTGCAGTGGTTAAGGCAGCAAGATCCAACATGGCCAACTGTGCAACCAACAGTCCCAGTGCTGGCAGCCTGAGAATACACCAGGCACATGAGCATGCAAGCAGAGAAACGTGGAGAAGACACTGCTAAGTGACCATGCTCCACGGGGAGAGTGGCTTTCTTACCTTCCCTCTGTCTCTCCCTCTTTCCTTCCACCAAGCACACACACCCTCTAGCAAATTTTTTAAAAAGAAAAGAAAAAGGAAATCACAGCACGGTCACAATCTCACTACACTGAGAACCGCACGATGCTTCAAGCAGTCGCGAGAAAACAGAAGTTAACTTTCCAGTGATGAATGGCCAGAATCTGGTTCTTTCCAGAGTCCTGGGGGGGGGAGGGGATTTTTATAAACAAGTCATTAAAACCCTAAGAAAAAAATCATCATTCCAGTAATTCTTTTACAAAACCCATATGAATACTGGCAGAACTCTTCAGTCCTAAATGAGGCACATGGAGACACAGAGAGCTATCAAGAGACTAAAGGGACAGATGCCCCTAAAAATCTGTAATGGATCATAATTACTATGTAAAAAGACTGCAGTTAGTGTAATGGCTATGTCACTGCACTCCCACGTAGTCGACCGTGGTTCGCATCCCGGACCCGGTGGCTTAAAACTCACGCCGGGCGCGTGTCAGTGCGTGCCCAAGATCCCCCAGATCCCGAGAGGAGAATGGAGGAGAAGGGACTGTGGTGTGGCCATCCCTCCTGGGGGGTGATTTCTCGCTTTGTCTCTCTGTCTCTCTCTGTCTGTCTGGTGAGCGCACGTGCCCTATAGCGAAAACCTCTCCAAAAAAAAAAAAAAGATTGCATCAAATCTGAGAGAAAGTATCTCAAAACAACGAAAATAAAATATCTGAAGAGCTTTCTGGAAACAGCCTTTTCTGGTCCACCTTGGTCTCAAAAACCCTGGTAAAGTGGTCTGTATTGTCTCCATTTTCCCCTAACCCCATTTAAGGGAGGAGGGGGGTCATTTCAACTAAGTCAAAAGCCTCCATCATCATTTCTGAAAAGGACAGCTTGAATGTTTGCCAAGCACAGTATTAGACCTCAGACACCAATAAATCCGCATGGCCACTCCGAAGAACAGATTATCTGCCGGTATAATCTGACTGTTGCAGACCCCGCTGGCTTAACCCCCGCGTCATTAACAGCTGCCTTCGAAGTTCTAAGATAAAAGTAGGCAAGAAAGGCGAGAACCCTCCCGTTCCTGAAGGCCCTCCTAAGTCTGATCCATTAGTGAAAACACACCACTAAAATTCTGAACAGAAATACTGGCAACAAGTACGGAGGGAGGTGGAAGCTCGACGTCCAGAATGCATTCCTTATTTTTTCCTAACTCTGCAGGTGGGAATGAAATCTGCATCGAAGGGCTAAAACACTACCAACCCTGTTCTGGTGCACTCCTAACTGGTAGAAGACGCCGATCCTGAATGGACGTACATGTTTTACGAGACCAAGTTTATCAGAGGAGAGTTACAGAACAGGCTCGGGCAAGTTTGCAGAGGGGCGGGAAGGCTAGCGCCCTACCCAGACAATCGAGAGTGTCGAGCCAGGGTTGGGTCGGAAAACTCAGGAAGCTGGGGTGAGGCTGCCCAGCACCCTGGGGTTTGGAAAGCGGGGTTCCAGACGTTTACAAAGGCAAAGAGCCCTTTGTGGAGTCCCTCCAGGGTTCACGCTGTAGAGCATATTCTAAGAGCAACCTGCCGGTGGGGCCTGAGTGCTGCTCAGAATAAGGGGAAGGAGATGCTACTCCAGCCTCCGTCTGGGTTCACCCAACCAGCAGAGCTGGGTGGGCTACGGAGCTCAGCGCCGCTCACCAGCGGGCTGGGCCGGAGGCGACACGTCCCTGCAGCCGTGGGGGTCCTCCGCCCGAGCCCTGCACGCCCCGCCCTACGCGGAGTCACAGAGGCCGGACGGGAAGATCCTGGGGTCGCCTCTTGGTCCCCTAGTCCCAGCCCTCGCGCCCACGGCACAGGGTTTTCCAGACCGCAGGACGCAGCGCTCAGGCCCGAGGCACTCCCCCAGGCGGCGCGAGGTCAGCCCCGGCGACCCACCATCGGCCCCACCTCCAGCGGCAGACCTGGACACGCACGCAGACAAGTCCGCGGCGCTCGGGCTGCTGGCCCCGTCCTCCAAGCCGACAACCCCAGCGCGGCGCACTGCCTCGCTCACCTGGCCCGCACAGCACTGAGCGGACATCGCGGCGGCCAACGACGACGGGCGAGCTCCCTGCTCCCCGGGTCTCTCCGGCCCCGGCTCCCACGCGCCGCGAGCGCCCTTCTCCGCGGCGGCTCCGACGTCCACG